ATATTTATAGATTAAGGAAAGCATTATTTATTTATCTTCAGAATACAAAATTAAAAAATAGAATTTAATAGATGTAAAACAATGTTGCTACACACTCATGAACAGTAGGTGGCGTTATGCCCGCCCCTTCCCTAGAGCCCGGTGGGATCGAAAACATTTTGAATGGAAATCAGTGGGGAGAAATTAATAAACTTCTGGTCCCAGTCGCTCTCTGTCATTGATTCCAGATATGCTGGTTGTGTATTTAAATTGTTTTTTATTTTTTTTTTAGTTCCTCTTTGGTCAAAATCTGGTCAAAACCCATCAATGAGATCGCACCAAACAGGAAGTGAAATGCACAAAGGATCCGGTAGATTTCCAAATAAAACACATCCGATCTTAACCCATGATCCTTTTTTAAACTAGTTTAATTAGTTTCTCCCGTATGCCACGACGTAATGCATTGATCTGAAAATCAACCTCAGACGCAACGCCGCAGTGGCGAGGGTTTGATCCGTCAGATGGAGTTAAATCACAAAGAATTCAATGTTGAATCGGGGCGGCAGCTAAATGCTAGGCGATGGGTAGCAGCCAAAACGTTGCAATTTCACATAATCCTGACGAGATCCGAAAAACCGTAGCAAAAACTAGCAAGCGGGTGATTATGTATGTTCACTAAGTAAATATTATGTAAATAAACCCTACACTTCTCGCTATAAATGTGATCAAAACCCATTTAAATGCAGAAACTGATTGAAATTATTGATTTTCCCACTAAAAGTTAGAGAAATCTCAGCCATGTTTATACCAAAATGTTACAGTTTCACATTATCTTGAAAAATCTTTGCAAGAAACGAACAAGCAAGTGAATATGTACATTCCCTGAGTAAATATTCTGGCAACAAACTATACATTTCTCACTAGAAATGTAATCAAAACTCATTTTAATGCAAAAACAAACTCAAGTCATTAATCTTTCCACAAAAAATGAGCGAATGTCGGCCATCTATATATATTTTTTTCTTCTCCCAGTTGGAATCTTAAAAGTCACGTGACTAGGACGTAAAACAATAGAAAGCGTATAGGTAGAAGAAACGTAACAGTACCACAAAAAAACGGCCATTAATGTACCTCCACTACGTTTTGCAGTGTGGACCAACGTAGTGGGGGTACATTTTCCCATGAGACTGGGTTGATATATATATATATATATATATATATATATATATATATATATATATATATATATATATATATATATATATATATATATATATATATATATATATATATATATATATATATATATATATATATATATATATATATATATATATATATATATGGGTTGTCAAAAGTATCAAAACTCAAAAAAGTATCGATACTGAAATGTTGTATCCGGATACAATACTCGTTTTTAAAAGTATCGATACAGTGCCACCACCAGTGGCACCTAAACAGTCATTCATCTAAACTGCAGAATAGAGGACAATGCGCTTTCAGAACACTGTGTGATTTAATAATTCTACGCACTTTTCAGTTTCAGACTTTTTTTTGTAAGAGGTGCAGCTGCTGAGAATTATTTTTGTTTCTTAACCCGTTTGGCTAGTGTCATTGTTATGTGTGCAAAGCATAGCCAAGGAAGGAACACTTAATTTTTATTTTATAAGTTTTTTATCAAGCTTGCTTAATATTGTACACAGCATACAACCTTTATTGTATTTATTGTATTTTATTTATTAATGAAAATATTTCTGTAGAATTTTGGAGTCTTTGTTTTTATCCTTGTGGTATTGAAAATGGTATCGAGTATCGAATATTTTCCTTAGTATCGGTATCGAGTTGAAAAGTTTAGTATCGTGACAACCCTAATATATATACACACATACACACACTAGGGCTCCAACTAACGATAATTTATGTTATTTCAGTTATAGCACTGCCTTTATTTCTGGAAAGATAGGAGCCACATTGGGGAGGGACAGGGGGAAAACACTTTTTCCTCGTCAGGTTACAGTTTAAGATATCAAAAAACACCTCAGCATAAAAAAAGCACATTTAATCAGTGTTGGGCACGTTACTTTGAAAAAGTAATTAGTTATAGTTACTAGTTACTTCTCCTAAAAAGTAACTGAGTTACGAACTAAATTACTCCATAAGAAAAGTAACTATTTTCTAGTAAAAGTAACTACTTTTGGATTTCTCGCCCCCGTAACCCTCACCACCCGGCCCCCACCTTCACGCCGTGTGTTTCAAAAGCCAGCTGAATAGAGCGAACGACAAAGACAAGAACCTGCAGAGAGTTTTGCAGTTATTGCAACTCAACGTAAATGACATCAGGGGGGAACGCTATCTGACGGGCCTATAAACCCCGGCAGATAGCGTTCCCCCTGCTTAACATGGGGGGAACGCTACCTGATGCGGTGTAAATATCATCAGGCTGCATTACCTCTACTTATGGGTGTGAAGTTTTTTAACAGGACGTTCAGATCTGGTGAGTGTATGAAATTAATAACTGGGGATGTCTAATTCTGAAATCCTCTGTGTTTGGGTTGTTATAGATACTGCAACATCTATTGATCTATCTATACTCTGTGTGTGACATTAAAATATGTATCTCCATCCCTGCCACAAAGCCCATCAAATAATTAAAATTAAAAATACAGTAGGTTGAAAAGGCAGAGTATCTATCTATCCCTCCCTCCCTATTTCTCCCTTTCGGCTATCATTTGAGCGTTCACGCTCTCCGTAGTTCTCCCTGTGGCGCAAGCACAGGGCGACTGTTACGCGCCTTTAGTGACCATGCGTCACTAAAGGCGCATGGTTGTATGCTGTGTACAATATTAAGTTTATCAACCGGCGCTACAGTTCTGGACACATCCACAGGTTTTTGTGGGTAGGGGGGGTGGAGGGGTCCTTGCAGTTCGGGCCCCTTCCACCATAACATCCTGGGGAGATTTGATAAGGGGGGTGCTGAATCCTAAATAACACTTTTCGTTTTGAGAGCAGGCTGCACAGAATTTACTGTGAGCCTGTAAATTCTGGCTCCACATGGCGAATATGGAGAAATTGTCAGGCTTCTCCGCCTTGAAGCGAGCGTGCACATCCAGGATATGATCCCATCTCACCTTTGACTTCAACCACCGCAGTCAGCCTGCATTCAATCTAGGGCTGCAACAACGAATCGATAAAATCGATAAAAATCGACTTTTAAAAGCGTTGGCAACAAATTTCATCATCGATTAGTTGTGTCGCGCGATTAATGCCTCATTTGCCGCCGCCGTCATCACATCCACTTGACTGAAACGGGGGAAGAAAAAAAAATACGACAGAGCGAGCCAGCGCCGCAGGTGCAGTGTTGCCAACTCAGCGACTTTTCAGACCCCTCCAGCGACTATTTTTCAAAAAAGCGACTAGCGACAAATCTGGCGACTTTTTACGGTGTCACTGGCGGCTTTTGGAGACTCTTACGTGAAAGCATGTATCGTTCCTACTCTGCCGTGGGGCGCCTCCCCCCATCCCGACCCCGTTCTCCTGCAGGAGTCCCTCTCAGCGCTGCAGTCAGAGCCTCAGCGTCCAGACTGCAAATGAAGCGTGCATGCGCCGGGATTGACGGCGCAAATTGATCACAATAATTAAAATAGCCTGCGCTTTGTAAAGTGAAAAAAGTCGTATCATGCAACTTTTTTCAAAAGAAATTAACATGGCACGGAACCACCATGTTTGTTTGGTTTTAAAGTGGGGAAACGTAACGTTAGTTTCTCAGGTAGCTCATCTGATGCTTTCCTTACCGTGTTAGTAGGTTACAGACAGTGATAAGGTTGGCTACTTATTTTACTACTAATTTCATTTGAATTAGCTTAAGCAGCGTTTATATTTTCTTTATAAATAAATTAACTTGCAAGGATTTTAAAGTTTAAATCTTCTGGCAAAGATAAAGTAAAGAAGATCCTGCAATTTATGGAAGTAAAGCAGAATAAAATCCAGCAAGATCAGTAATATGTCAAATAATTATATGCCACATTCCCATGTAAATATCTGTCTTTGGAGGATGTTTTTTTAGCACCCCTAGTTCTCTCATTTTTATTCCAAATACAATTTATAATTATAATCACAGGGCTATTTTTATCTCTATGGTTCAGTATTTTCTCAAGTAGCAACTTTAACTGCTATACTTTCCTGTCTTAAAAGGCAGAATTCTTCTAGTCTAAAAAAAACTAATTTGTGGAAATGGGGGGACCTATAGTTTGAGCCCCTAAGGGGCTTTAAAAAACAAAAATGCCTTTTTTTGCGCTTTATGAAACAAAGTAGCCTATATTTTGTGGACGTACAGCTACATTTCTCATGTAAGTTTGCATAGTTTTAACACAAACATTTATTTTTCATATTGCACCAGTACAGTTAATGAGCAACCTGTACTTGTGTGCTTGTTTGTTCTGTCTAAAATGTTTTTTTTTTTGAATAAAGAGGTTAATATAAAAAATATTTTTTGTCCGATTCATCGATTAATCGAAAAAATAATCGGCCGATTCATCAATTTTTAAAATAATCGTTAGTTGCAGCCCTAATTCAATCGCACCCAGCATACGGCTCACAGCCTTTGTAAGCTCGTCAACCGCACCAGCAGCCTGATCGATGCCCAAATCGCCACAACATCCTATGTAATAGTAGATTCATCAGGTATCCTTATCAGTTATTGCTTTGAAACTGTCTGATTGAACCTTGCATGGTTTGAGTGCATCATTAAAAGCTAAATATGATTTTGATGGTATGTGAGGTGTTGATGTGCAGCTTTAATGGATGGAGCTCAGTGGTTTTTACTCTGCAGTGATGAGATGTGTTCCTTCTGATCTGGTATTGCCTTCCTCCGGGGAGAGCTCTGACCAGGGAATGATCCCACTCCAATCTTCTCTCTGAGCAGACCATATTCCAGTGAGATGAAGCTGCTACCTAAAGCAGTTTGCTTTATTATGTGGACTTGTTTTAATTCGGAGAAATAACTTTTTTTTTTTTCACCTCAGATCTTGAATGCTAACGACCAGGAGCTGAACCGCTGGTGCTCTCTGAGGAAGACCTGCATGTTCAGGTACTGACTCTGGGCTGATTAAGATGTTTGAACAGTTCAGATTATTTAGTAACGTCGTTCTTTGCTTCCTAAGGTCTGAGAAGGAGGAGCTGTGTGATCTGAAGAATTATAAAGTGAAGGCACAGAATGTGAGGAAGAAGAAGGAAGTCCTGAGCTCTGTGTATTCTGAGTGAGTAGAACTTTAAGCAGCTGGACTCCATCTCTACCGTGGTTAGAAGGTGAAGGTGTTGATCTCTTCCTGATCTGCAGGGAGGACAAAGAAACAACTGAGGCTAAGACCAAGCTGGGAAAGAAACGGCGAGACCGTCTGAAGAACGCCGATAAGCAGATCACAGGAGCGGAAGAAGCGAGCATGGATTCTGCAGAGGAGACGATTCAAGCTCTCAACGAGGCTTTGGACAACACTGAGGAAGGAGAGGAGATCCTGGTACCCAAGAAGAAGAAGAAGAAGCTAGAAGAGCAAACCAAGGATACAGCGGAGCAGACAGCAGAGAAACGAAAAGAAGGCAAGAACAAGACTGCATGGTCCAAGAAGAAGCCCAGGAGGTTAGGTGGACGCCTCCAACCAGGAACCAAGAGGGTGAAAATAGGTGGCCGGGAGTTCAGCAGACAGAGACTGAAGGCCTACGGGCTGAACCCCAAAAGGCTGTACTTCAGACAGCTCGGCAGACAGAAGCGGAAAGAGCAGGAGAAGAAGCTGAAGCAGAAGAACAAGGAGGGATGAGAGCTTCCATTGAGCTGCTGTCTGACCTTATTGGACCATCAGAGAACAATAAGCTAAGATTTGAATATTCTTTAAAAATGTGTAGAATAAAAATGTAATTGTGCTTTAAACCAGCAATGTCCTCGTTTGCTTCTGTCAGCTGTTTGCCTCATTAAGCCAGAGCGGTGTTCCTCCTGTCACAGCCCGGTTCTACAGCTCAGTCCTGGTGCTGAGATACGAGGCTGCTGGAGTGTTTGCAGCTTTACGCAGCATCACTGCTTGAGTAAATACTGGGAAACCAAAGTCTTTTACTTTTATCCAGGCTACAAATTAGCCAATGAGTTGTTTCAGTCTGGGTTACCAGAAAGAAGACGAGAAAAAGAGCAGAAAAAGTGGACTGGGAGAAACGCAGTGAACTAGTGAAAGAAAAGAGAAATAGTGTGCTCAAAGATGACCCTGTATACAGTGGGGCAAAAAAGTAATTAGTCAGTCACCAATAATGCAAGTTCTCCCACTTAAAAAGATGAGAGAGGCAGGTAATTTTCATCATAGATATACCTCAACTATGAGAGACAAAATGAGAAAAAAAAAATCCAGAAAATCACATTGTCTGATTTTTAAAGAATTCATTTGCAAAATATGGTGGAAAATAAGTATTTGGTCAGTTACAAACAAGCAAGATTTCTGGCTCTCACAGACCTGTAACTTCTTCTGTAAGAGGCTCCTCTGTCCTCCACTCGTTACCTTCATTAATGGCACCTGTTTGAACCCGTTATCAGTATAAAAGACACCTGTCCACAACCTCAAACAGTCACACTCTAAACTCCACCATGGCCAAAACTAGAGAGCTGTCAAAGGACACCCGAAACAAAATTATAGACCTGCACCAGGCTGGGAAGTCTGAATCTGCAATAGGTAAACAGCTTGGTGTGAAGAAATCAACTGTGGGATCAATTATTAGAAAATGGAAAACATACAAGACCACTGATAATCTTCCTCGATCTGGGGCTCCACGCAAGATCTCACCCCGTGGGGTCAAAATGATCACAAGAACGGTGAGTAAAAATCCCAGAACCACACGGGGGGACCTAGTGAATGACCTGCAGAGAGCTGGGACCAAAGTAACAAAGGCTACCATCAGTAACACACTACGCCGCCAGGGACTCAAAGCCTGCAGTGCCAGACGTGTCCCCCTGCTTAAGCCAGTACATGTCAAGGCCCGTCTCAAGTTTGCTAGAGAGCATTTGGATGATCCAGACGATGACTGGGAGAATATACGGTCAGATGAAACCAAAATAGAACTTTTTGGTAAAAACTCTACTCGTCGTGTTTGGAGGAGAGAGAATGCTGAGTTGCATCCAAAGAACACCATACCTACAGTGAAGCATGGGGGTGGAAACATCATGCTTTGGGGCTGTTTTTCTGCTAAGGGACCAGGACGACTGACCCGTGTGAAGGAAAGAATGAATGGGGCCATGTATCGTCAAATTTGGAGTGAAAACCTCCTTCCATCAGCAAGGGCATTGAAGATGAAACGTGGCTGGGTCTTTCAGCATGACAATGATCCCAAACACACCGCCCGGGTAACGAAGGAGTGGCTTCGTAAGAAGCATTTTAAGGTCCTGGAGTGGCCTAGCCAGTCTCCAGATCTCAACCCCATAGAAAATCTTTGGAGGGAGTTGAAAGTCCGTGTTGCCCAGCGACAGCCCCAGAACATCACTGCTCTAGAGGAGATCTGCATGGAGGAATGGGCCAAAATACCAGCAACAGTGTGTGAAAACCTTGTGAAGACTTACATAAAACGTTTTTTCTCTGTCATTGCCAACAAAGGGTATACAACAAAGTATTGAGATGAACTTTTGTTATTGACCAAATACTTATTTTCCACCATATTTTGCAAATAAATTCTTTAAAAATCAGACTGTGATTTTCTGGATTTTTTTTCTCTCATTTTGTCTCTAATAGTTGAGGTATATCTATGATGAAAATTACCGGCCTCTCTCATCTTTTTGAGTGGGAGAACTCTCACTATTGGTGGCTGACTAAATACTTTATTGCCCCACTGTATCTTGATTATGTTTGGCTCAAACTGCTGTTGTGAAGCAGGATTCTCCACCATGAACATAATCAAAAATAAATATTGATCAAGGCTCAAAATATGTTAGTTCAGGTGTTTTATATAGAAAGTGATTCAGGAAACCGTCTATATACCAAACTGAAAGATTCAAAAACTACTTAGATTTTAAAATGGAAAAACTTTTTATAAAATTCAATGTATAAGATGGATGCATAAACACCTGCATTTTATTTCAGTGTTAAATGCTGTTTAAATTAATGGATTATAATTATAAATTTCTCCTAACCTTTACTGGTTGATGATGGTCTTTATTCGGACCCGGACAATCATTAATTGGTTTCTCCTGTTCTAAATCAACATGTTGGGAAAGTCCATCTGTACCAACTACAGGAGAACTAGAGAGTCTGCCTTCTCTGTCAGAGCCCCCAGCACCTGTTCATGCTGGGTATTGCTTGGGGGGCATTTCAGGCCAGTGGTTTATGAGGGTGCCATTTATTTCAACCATTTATATTAGCTATAAACTAACTCGAACTATAGTTAGAGTGGCTCTGGTTACTAGAGCTATTTCTATAGTTATGCTGCTATAGGCTTAGACTGCTGGAGGACATAGGGGACCCATTTTCATCATTCTTCTTCATTCTATCTCTATTCTCCCACACTGTAGAATTTGTTATTTCAATCTCTGACGCTATGCTTTCTCTGCTTTTTCTCATAGTAGCTTCATCTGGTCTGTTCCTGTTTGGCTGTGACACCATCCTGGAGAGAAATATCAGCTGTACTGCCACCGAAACCTTTGTTTATAGATGTTCGAGATCACCTGGTTTTTCAATGTAGTCCTGTTTGACTGGCTGGATGTACTCTCTTCATCCTCTGACATGGGAGGTGGCTTGGTGCTTGTCTGCCTGGCTGTGTGTTTCCTGGACGGGGCCCCCTGTGGAGATGGTTGACTGTTGCCTTTGTATCTCTGCTTCTTTTTATATGCCTGCTTCAGTCTCCTTGAAACCCAGTCGGCCTCGGCAGATGGCCGCTCACACTGAGCCTGGTTCTGCTGGAGGTTTCTTCCTGTTTTTCCTCTCCACTGTCGCTACAAGCATGATAAACTTGAGGGATTGCCTTCGAGTCAGTGACTCAATTCAATCAACTGGTTTTCCTTAGAAAACTTTTAATCAATTTGAATGTAAGATCTGGTTGAATTGTAAAGTGCCTTGAGATGACGTGTTGTGAATTGGCGCTATATAAATAAACTGAATTGAGTATTAGATATATTCTGTGGAAATGTCAAATGTAAGTATTGGTACATAAGGCTAAATTAACAGAACACCTTTCCTCCTCGTTAATTTATTGTTGTCCTTTTGTTTTTGATTTTTTTCTGTTTGTGTGTCTTTCTTTATATCAATTCTTGTATGTTTTTAATTAGTTTGCTTTTTGTTTATGATCTATGAAAAATTAAAAAACAAAGTTGTACGCAGCTGGTGTGTTCTTGCCTTAATATGTATAGATGTCTTATTGGACGCTGCAGGCAGCGAGGCCGACATGCCTATAGGGCGGTCATCTTGGATCAGACCACAGTTCAGGCAGCTGCTGTCAGAATGAATAGGAGGCGCCTCAGATCTCATTTTAATCCCATAGAAGACAAATCAATATCACAATAATCTCTTACATGTGACAACCCCTTAAAAGAACAAAACAAACATATTTACTCAGACTAAAATAATTTAAACTGAGCTCAAGCTTATAGATATATGCGAAGTTATATATTTTGCAATTATTTATTAATATGATTAACACAAAGTTTTATATGAATATACTGTAATATGTTGTACAAATACTTTATACAGTATATAATTATTATTCAGCATGTTTAAGGATTACTCTTTAATAATCAGTATTATCTATAGAGGAAACATTTGTTTTGGGGATTTACAAGAGTAAAGTTATTATGTAGTATTGTTATTAATTGAAATTAATTATTAATTGTTATTCATTGAAAGAAAATTATAATATGAATTTCTAATTGAAATGCTGCTCAAAACCTTGTTTAACCAGTAGAAATGTAATAAAGATTTTATTATCTACGAAATGAGAATGAAAACGGCCGGTTTAATCTATTATTGTTCAAATATGAAATGCGCCATTAACCCCTTGAGTGGCAGTTAGTCCACAATTCTATTTTCGTTCAAATCGGTAAAAATTGTTGGTCGTCACAACAAAGCCGTTCAGTGTATATAACAATCGTTCTCTTTAGAGCGTGTTCCCGCGTTTGGACGAAGGTAAGAGAAGTCAGTAACATTTGGGAAGGGTAAAAATGTCAGCAATTTTTAAATACCAAATTTTCTGCTGTTCAAAATACAATTTCCTAATGATAATGGAGGACGGGGGGGTGTTTACCATTCAGCTGAAAGTTAAGTTGTGTTTTTCTTTCTGTATTTTTGCAGTTTTGCCTGAGACTGAACATTGGCCTAACTTCAAATAACTCGTATCGTTGGAATTTCCAATAATATCAATAGTAAGTACATTTTGGAAGTATGTAAATTGAAATTAATCCAATGAAGTTGTTGTGGGTTATGGCTAGTTATCAGTAGCTAGCTAACAGCTGGTATGATACTGTAGTTGTGGGGCATAAAGCCTCATAGAATGTTCTAAATCTGCAAATAAAGATTGTATACCTGTATAAATATGTTTGTGTATAGAAAATATAAAAATGTATGGGCGGCTGACGGCTGTGCTTTGCAACATGCATACATCTTATCAGAATTTTCTATTACTCTTAACCCCACTAAAAATATTTGAATAAACTGAACCATTTGTTTTTTTTAGCAAATAAACATAACCGAGAAAATTAATTCAATATTCAGCGAGTTAAAGTTGATTAAAATTGATTCTGCACCTGCTCAACACATTACGCTGAGCGGAGCGGTGCCTAGCGGTCTCCGCCAGTCACGTGACATTTGTTGCTAAGACGCCATTTTTGGTGGAAAAGGCGTAGTGTAAACAACCTCAGCATAGCTAAACGAAGGGCTAAAGGATTGAGTTTGTTTCTCTGACTATATGGAAAAAAGTAGGCAGAATGCGAAATTACCGTACCGGCAAAAACTTAATAACGAGGCCAGGGAACGTTACTTGTCGAAACTGTCGGATATTAACGGCATAGATCCTTATGATCTCCTCATCTTCACAAATGGCTCCTTTTTTGCCTGATTTAGATAGGAGGAACAGATTATAGCAGGTGGCCTGCTATAATCTGTTCCCCCCTTTTAACTTTAAGAAATAAAGGTCAATCAACTCCAAAGTTTCAGGGGTTAGTTGTCATCATAAAAGATGCTTATAAGCCAAAAATGAAAAAGCTGGGACCTTTTTTGCCTGATTTAGACAGGGGGAACAGATTACAGCAGGTTTTATTTCATCCCATTCTGCCAGTTCTGACAATATGGGATGAAATAAAACGGCTGATGTTAGAAGACAAACTGTTTATTAAGGATAGTACAACATAGATAAATTGTACGTTACTATAAACACAAATATAGATTTAAGTACTAAATTTCAACCAGGAAAAAAATTTATTTTCCTTCTGCATATAGTCTTTAATGATTACACGTGCACTCCATTTTCTATTTCATTTTTATTACAAGTATATGGTTTACAACAGTTTTCAATGGGATGAGAACATTTGGACACTGAAACAATGAGAGATTTTTTTAAGGAAGGTGTGGAAAAGAACAAGGATCTGTTTGCTTTCAGAGGAAGGAGTAGACACTGCTGTCAGCGACCAGCTTTCAAGCAAACGTTTGTGTTTTATTATTAGTTTTAAATCAATATCACTGGCGATATTCTGCTATAATATGTGAAGTAAAGAATCAAACAGTGAAGCTCAACTTTCATACACGTAAAACCTTTCAAATTTCAAGTTCTGCACGTTGGAATTGAAGCGGAGTTAACTCGGGTTGTTCTTCCTACTCCGTGCGCGCTCCCGACGAAGAGATACAAATTTTCGCTGGGATAACTACCTTGGCACGACACCGGGACTGGCAGCCTCTCACACAACACGATCGTGTCATTTCTGGTAAATAATTGTGCCGAAAGAACAGCCGCATGTGGGTTATCTCGACTTTCCACCTAATATGGTGGTTTTCCCACGATGCACCGCGCCTGAGGTAAACAATTGACGTCAATTGGCGGAGACCGATAGGCCGATGGTCTTGAACAGGGGGTCCGTGACCCTTAGGGGTCCATGGAGGTACTGCATGGGGGTCATGAAAGTTTTGGTTGATTAACCTTTTTTGTTTATATTTCCCCCTGCAATTTTTCCCCCTAATTGAAATCTCTTTAAATCCACATTAACATGAATTCAGCACACTGTAGTAAACAGATAAATGGAGGCAGAAGATGTCTTTCAGTCATCAATGCTCACATTCAGCGACACACAGGAGCTCTTTCAAGCTGGGCACCGTTTCATTCACAGCACCTGTCCCATCAACAAAGAACCAGAGTCAGAAGTACTTTAATAATCCCAGGGTGAAATTACTTTCGTGACATGAGTCCTTCTGTAATAGATGGACTATAGGACCAGTTTGATTTAACACAATTTCATACAATATATATAATTAGGGGGTCCCCGCTCCATCTCCTGCTATAGGCGAAAGAACAACGGAGCATTAGGGCCAGGCTAGATTTTTTCTGTTTTTAAATACGAGAATAAAGTCGTAATATTATGATATAATATATTACAATTGCTAGTGGCGTCAGCTGTAAGACATTGACCTTCACTCCTGTGGTTGTTGGTTCGAGACCCAGGGTAGACTTTCAACAGCTGAACTGTTGTGAAAACTCTAAATCATGTCACAGAAATGCATCACACTGATAAAACCAAAACAATGCATAATTGCACTATATATATTAAATGCTCTGGACTTCCACATCAATGGGTTTTTGCACCATGTTTTTTTTCTCCCACACTGTTTACATTTGATCACTGCTGCACTTTAAGGAATTTAAATGTCATGAAAGTTGTACAAAACAAAATTTTGATTTGTATGCACTCTTGTGTATACAAAATGACAATACAGGTTGTATGAGTCTAAGAATAAAGTTGTTAATTTACAAGAATAAAGTCATGAAATTATGAGAATAAAGTTGAAAAATAACGAGAATGAACTCATTAAACTACGAGCCGTTTCAGAAAGAACATTTCGAGCTCCGACCATCACCACCAAACAGCAACCTGAGTCCATTTCCACATCCTGCCCAATTTGATGCTTCTGTGCTAAAATATTTCCTCATTTGTCAAACCAATGCCAAAGTATAACTTCACATGATGCTCGACATTCCACATTTTAGGGAAGACCATGCTTCTTGAAAGTGTTGCTATAAAAATACAACTTTATTCTCATAATATTAGGACTTTATTCTAATATTACGACATCATTCTCGTACTGTTGTGATTTTATTCTCCTAATTTTATTACTTTATTCTCGAATTACAAAAAAAACTCTAGCCTGGCCCTGATACTCCGTCGTAATCAGTGTTGGGCACGTTACTTTGAAAAAGCAATTAGTTATATTTAGTTAGTTACTTCTTCCAAAAAGTAACTGAGTTATGAACTGAGTTACTCCACAATAAAAGTAACTATTTTCTAGTAAAAGTAACTACTTTTGCATTTCTCGCCCCCGTAACCCTCACCACCCAGCCCCCACCTTCACGCTGTGTGTTTCCAAAGCCAGCTGAATAGAGCGAACGACAAAGACAAGAACCTGCAGAGAGTTTTGCAGTTATTGCAACTCAACGTAAATGACATCAGGGGGGAACGCTATCTGACGGGCCTATAAACCCCGGCAGATAGCGTTCCCCCTGCTTAACATGGGGGGAACGCTATCTGATGCGGTGTAAATATCATCAGGCTGCATTACCTCTACTCATGGGTATGAAGTTTTTTAACAGGACGTTCAGATCTGTGAGTGTATGAAATTAATAACTGGGGATGTCTAATTCTGAAATTCTGTGTGTTTGGGTTACTGCAACATCTATCCATCCATCCACACACACACACACACACACACATACATACATACATACCGACCGATTTCTCCCTTTCTCCATATAGGCTAACATTTGATCCTTCACGCTCTCCGTAGTTCCCCTGTGGCGCGAGCACAGGGCGGCTGTTACGTGCCCTTAGCGAGCATGCGCGTTTCCTGTCGCTTGCGCTGCCTTTTCTAAAGTCACACTGATGTTTTTGTTCTTAAGACTCTGAAAATGGCCAGATTTAAATAATGGAATTAAAAAGAACTCTTGGGGGAGCACGCTGCCGAACCAGCCTAGAAGTTATGACTATTGACCTCAGTATTTTTTGGGCCCTGCGTACGTCTCTGGGTGTGAGACATTATAAAACTTCTACTGCCTCAGTAACACGGGTACCTGCTCAGTTGAATTTCACCTGGTCTCCTGCAGGACCAAGGCTGTTTTTCCCTTTGGATCATTGAACTTTTCCGACCCCTCAGCCGCAGGCCTCTATGTTGATGATGTGGAGAAATAGAACAGAATAGAATACATGGAAAATCCCTTTATTGTCCCACAATGGGGATATTGTGATGTTTACAGCAGCAAAGGTTATAGTAGAAGCCGTCACCTTAGAAAAGTGTAAAAAGATAACAGATAGGAAAATAAAACAAATAGAGTATTGAAGTGTTTTACAATATAATACTCTGTATCTGAAAAATAAAAAATCAATAACAGCTCTGGACATGTTTACGGTAATGGATGTGAGAAAAATAGCAGCAACTGTGTGTGTGTTTTAGACATGGCGGAGGAATCTCTTGACTCCAAGGTGGTTTTGGAACGCATGGAGTCCCTGCTGGGAAAGGATGGAGAGCTCCGCAGTCTGGAGGAAGTTCCCCAGATGTTCAGGTGAGATGCTCCCCTCTGATGGTGCAGCCTCCGTTCCTCCTTCTGTCATCAACCCATCTACCGTATTTTCACGACCATAAGGCGCACCGTACTAAAAGGCGCAGTCTCAGTTATGTGTCCCATTTCTGTATTTAACACACACATAAGGCGCACCAGACTATAGGGCGCGTTTTTTATATACAGGTACATGTCCTCTACTACCTTTAAATACCTCTACTGCGTATTTAAAAATACAGCGGGGGCAAAACTGAGTATGACTGTGCTTTATTCATGTATTTATTACAAAGTATAAATCAAACCTGCAGGGAGCTGGCCGTGAGACAGACACATTGCAGATGACACAGCGCTGTGATCACTCCTAAATTAACTTAAAATCCTGAAACCTGCCGACGGATTATGTTCGCTTTTATTACCGGTATCCAGGTGCCTGCAGTTTAAATTATTTAGATGAAAAACACCTGCCAGCAGCCGCGGTGAACCTGGAGGCTACCCAGCCTAGAGGCTGCTGATGAAGAGATTTCTGCTGTCAGCGCACCGCTGGTATGTGGGGGTCTGAGCGCCTCCGACAGAAATAGATAATCTGGATGAACTGACTGCAATTATTAAGTTTTCAGGTGGACTTTCTCACTTAAAAACATATAAAAACTACTTTATTCCCACTGATCACAGCAAATATAGCTGCAAGATTTAGATTATTTAGATGAAAAAACACCTGCCAGCCACCGCGGTGAAGAGGAGGAGACCCGCCCAGAGGCTGCTGTTGAATTAAGTTTTCAGGTAGAAAAATAGAGCGGGAGCAAAACTGAGTATGTTTGTGCTTTATTCATGTATTTATTACAAAGTATTAATCAAACCCATCAAAGTCATCATCCTCTGTTTCTGAATTAAACAGCTGCGCTAAATCAGACATGCCAATTTCCCCTTCTTTGCTGTCAGAGTCACTTTCCGTGCAGCGCGGCTCCTCAGAAATAATGCCGGCTTTTGCGAAAGCTATAACAACAGAGCCAGCAGACACGTTAGTCCAAGCATCTACAATCCATCCGCAAACGGTGGCGTAACTTGCCCGGTGCTGCCTTCCACTTATCCTGAAACTGTGGTCTCTGTCGGTCATCCATCGCTTCCACGCCGCTCGCAGCCTTACTTTGAACGGGCGCTTCACACCGATGTCGAGCGGTTGAAGTTCCTTTGTCAGACCCCCGGGATAACGGCGAGCACAGCTTTTATTTGATTCACCATGTTTTTCTCATCAGCTGTGAGATGGGCACGCATGGAGTCACAGATTAACTGCGATGGTGATGCGTGGAAAAAACCACCTGTTCTCCTCACATACACCTCCCTCAGCCACGCTTTCATCATCTCCTCATCCATCCAGCCTTTTTCATTTGCGTTAATATCATATGTCATCAGAGCGCTGTGTCTGTCTCGCTGTCAGCTCCCAGATCAACTTCTCTGATTGGTTGATGCGGCGCGTCCAGCAGCAAAACTTAAATTTTTCCATCTCGAGCAGCAGCAGCGCGTTGGCAGATGCTTAAACGCTCCTGCTGCTCAAAACGCGCTGCGGGACCTTTTGCTGCACCTATACGCGTGTCAACCGTTGACTTTGCATGTAAACTTGCTGCTTCTGCTGCACCTGCTGCGTCCCGTTCACACCGATGTCGAGCGGTTGAACAGCGAGCACAGGGTTAATTTGTTTCCCCATGTTTTTCACATCAGCTGTGAGATGGGCACGCATGGAGTCCAACCCAGTCTCATGGGAAAATGTACCCCCACTACGTTGGTCCACACTGCAAAACGTAGTGGAGGTACATTAATGGCCATTTTTTTGTGGTACTGTTACGTTTCTTCTACCTATACGCTTTCTATTGTTTTACGTCCTAGTCACGTGACTTTCAAGATTCCAGCTGGGAGAAGAAAAAAATATATATAGATGGCTGACATTCGCTCATTTTTTGTGGAAAGATTAATAACTTGAGTTTGTTTTTGCATTAAAATGAGTTTTGATTACATTTCTAGTGAGAAATGTATAGTTTGTTGCCAGAATATTTACTCAGGGAATGTACATATTCACTTGCTTGTTCGTTTCTTGCAAAGATTTTTCAAGATAATGTGAAACTGTAACGTTTTGGTATAAACATGGCTGAGATTTCTCTAACTTTTAGTGGGAAAATCAATAATTTCAATCAGTTTCTGCATTTAAATGGGTTTTGATCACATTTATAGCGAGAAGTGTAGGGTTTATTTACATAATATTTACTTCGTGAACATACATACAACATACAACAACAGGAAAGAAATTGAAAAATGGCATTAAATGCAGAAACTGATTGAAATTATTGATTTTCCCACTAAAAGTTAGAGAAATCTCAGCCATGTTTATACCAAAACGTTACAGTTTCACATTATCTTGAAAAATCTTTGCAAGAAACGAACAAGCAAGTGAATATGTACATTCCCTGAGTAAATATTCTGGCAACAAACTATACATTTCTCACTAGAAATGTAATCAAAACTCATTTTAATGCAAAAACAAACTCAAGTTATTAATCTTTCCACAAAAAATGAGCGAATGTCAGCCATCTATATATATTTTTTTCTTCTCCCAGCTGGAATCTTGAAAGTCACGTGACTAGGAGGTAAAACAATAGAAAGCGTATAGGTAGAAGAAACGTAACAGTACCACAAAAAAATGGCCATTAATGTACCTCCACTACGTTTTGCAGTGTGGACCAATGTAGTGGGGGTACATTTTCCCATGAGACTGGGTTGTGGAGTCACATATTAACAGCGATGGTGATGAGTGGAAAAAAAACACCTGGTCTCCTTACATTCAGCCACTCTTTCATCATCTCCTCAATGAGGTGGTCTCAAAAGTCGCAGTTACAACACACATAGGGCGCACCGCACCAAAGGGCGCACCGCACATTTTGAGGGAAAAAAAGACGTTTAAGTGCGCCTTATAGTCGTGAAAATACGGTACTCATTTTTGTCTTTTCTTTCTCAGCTTGATGAAAGCTTCTACCACGATGGCCAGCATGAGTGTCTGCCTCAACGTGCTGCTGCAGACACAATCTAACGATATTCTCCAAAGGTGGGTCTCCTACAGATACAATAAATAATGAGGTTTAGTTCAGGCCCAGGAAAAAGAAGCAGCTCTTCTAGTAGCACCAGCTGGTGGTTAAAACAAGCTTCCCCTTCATCCAGGTTCATCAAAGTGGGAGGCTTCCAGCTGCTCTCCTCCTGGCTCACCCACTCTGAAAGCACCAACAACACCCCGCTGCTGCAGCTCATCCTGCTCACGCTGCAGAAGCTGCCTCTCAAAGTGAAGCACCTCACACAGGTAGCGCCTTCAGATTCTCTATCCGGGTTTTGGGGTTTTAGTCACTTTTGGCAACCTTCACCCACTCTGATGTTTTTCCCCAGAACAACGCAGCCAAGTTCGTGAAGCAGCTGAGTAAAAGTGGAGAAACTGAAGGTGAGTTTGAGACTGAAGACAGCATGAATGTTGGTTTGAGGTAGTGTTCATTTTAGCAGCCATTTTTAAATTTAGTTTTAGTTTTAGTCCAGTTTCAGCATCGATTTTTAGTTTTTATCACATTTAGTTGACATCATCCCATTTTTATTTAGTCTAGTTTTAGTCGACTATAAGTCAGAGCATTTTAATCTTTATTTTAGTTCAAGAAAACATAATTTTATTAGTTTAGTTTTAGTCAACAAAAACCGTCAACATTTTAGTCTAGTTTTAGTTGGAACATAATTTTAACCTTTTACTTTTTTGTCAGCAGATAATATTTAACATTTCCTAAAATTATTTCACATTTCAACGTTTTCTCATCTTTTTGATTAAAAAAAAAAACACAATTTTAAGGAACACATGCAGACATGGAAGATGTTCTGACAATATTTGCATATTTATTTTGAACATTGTTAAGGTTCAAAGACACAAACACAAATGCTTGCATTAAAATAAATAAAATACACCTGACAAAGGAAACAAATAAATAAAATAAAGTGTCTTATGAACATAACACAAGTGCTGGCTGTTTAAAGCTAGTTCACATAGAATAATAAAATAAATAGATTTGAGATCAATGTTGTGAAAAAAAAAAACTCCAACTGATAGAACAAAAGTGCTTTCCTGCCAGCTATAGCTGGCCTGTCATTGATTCTGGGTGGCTGGTAGGTTGTTGGTGGTGGTGTATCTTCAATCTGGAACAGAAATTAATACAATGTCAGGATAGATAAACAGCATAACAGGAATTCCAAGTGTATAAGTAGCATATAGGTCTGTTTTTTTCCTTAACAAAAACTAAGTCTCTGTAAAAACTACATTTGACAATCCTTTTCAAACTCATACAAACAACCTAACTATCATTTTATGCAGGAATAAATTGCAGACATTTTTATGTGTGCCAGCATTTTGGTTGTATTAATATTGATGTTTGCATCCCAGTCCCTGCAGTGGTTCCCGTAGCAATGGCTATTTTGTGTATGAAAATCTAGGTTAAAGTTGTTCTGAATTATGTGTGGCATATTATTTTTATTTGGTCTTATCCTGATAAATAGTTTCAGTTCGTTTTAGCATTTAGCATACATATGTAGCTGCCGAGGTGTTTTGTGTTAGCTGTAGTTCACTTGCAGCTCCTAGATTACCTAAAGCGTCTGTCTGCTTTAATCAAACTGGCAATTTAACTGAAACTATAGTTGCCCGGCCAGTATAACATATCTAAGTTCTATCAACAAGTTGCTACGGTCGCTACGTGCTAACAAGCTAACGTAACGTAGCCACCCTGGATACTAAATGCTATGAAAGTTAGCCAACATTAGTTAGTTTATCATTGGGAAATTATAGCCGTTGATTTAGTGTTACATTATAAACAACCACCACCAATCTTTCTGTTAACTTACCGTAATGTCTTTGTGGTGAACTGCGACGTGTCTCTTCAGGTTTGTTGTGTTTTTTCCAGCTACCATGTGGCCACATTCCTTCCCTTCGACTAAAATCAAGCATTTGGTTTTGTCTCGTCTTTATTAGTCCACGAAAATTATTTCTGATTTACTCCCAGTTATCGTTTATCAGTGGGGATTTTCGTCTCGTCTTGTCTAGTTTTCGTTAACGAAATTAACACTAGTTTGAGGCGCAGCTTTAACAGTTTGTAACTCTTTGTTTTTAGATGTGAGGAAGCTGGCAGGTGCCCTGGTAGATGGCTGGCTGGCTACCATCAGCGCCCACTGCGCCTCCAAGCGGAGCAGCAGTAACTCGCCTGGTGGTACGGACCTCCATGGTTTCTCTGTTTCCAGACTGAACTTTCCGCCTTCTAAACACGGTTCCTTTCTTTAGATAAAAAGAGGAAACAAGGGCTGGAGATGGAGGATACCAACCCTACCCCTCCTAAAAAGAAGACCCCTGCACCTCAGCTGGGGGAGAAATCCATCCTAAAGTGGCCGCAGCTGAAGAGGCCGAGGTAAGGCGCTGCGTTCTGTTTGAAATCTGGTGATTTTTCCTGTCAGGCTGCTGATTCTGGTTCTGATCGCTGTGGGTTTTCCTCTGTAGCTCCGGCCCCTCAGACGATGCACCTCCAGAGAAAAAGCACAAACCTCTAAATACTCCCTGGAGCTCCAACGAAGGCATCGAAGCCGAGATAACTCCAGCCCAACGTGAGTTTAAGCACAAGTAACTAGAAAAGTTTTTTGGTTTGTTGGAACGGCTGTTTGATACGAGGAGTTTTTGTGTTCATCATGTCAAACCATGTCTGTTACAGCGGAGGAGCCCAACACGCCCACAAACAACGGCAAGAAGAAAAAAAAGGTCCAGTGGGCTGAGGAGGAGCAGCTCACACAATTCTTCTATTTTGAATTGGATAGAACAGAGAGAGGTGAGGGATTTAGATGGAGATTTCAATATCATGTGGTCTTAGGAAATTGGATAGACATCCCTTAAAACCCACAGATAAAGAAAATAATCGTTGAGAATTTTTGCACTAGACTAAATTTGGTTGGCATATGGAGATACTGTAATCCATGTGAGAAAAAATACACATGGAGCAACAAAAATCTGCCTTACTGCTCTCGTATTGCTTTTTGGCTGATCACAAACGATTTAATTCAACAAGTTACAGAAGTAATAATTTGTCCCACAATAATAAATGATCACAAAACAATTCTTCTAAAATTAGATTTTCCACAGAATAAAAATAAAAAGTCTTTCAACTATTGGAAAGTTTAAATTGCTTAACGAATCAACTGGATTAAAGGTTCCTTAATTGTCCAAACAGCGTGTGGAACATCTTCCCCTCTAATCTTTTAGCAATCTATATATATATACAATCTTAACACAATAAATGTTCTGATGAATGCAAATGGTGGATTTTACTCTTATGAGGTCTTTATGGAAAAATATGACTTTGATACTTCTAGAGAAGAGTTTGAAAGGGTGATCAGTTCTATTTCCATCAGTATTGTCTCTTTAGCCCAAAGCATCATAACAGCTACCTCTCTACCTGTATCACTGGGTTCTCCTACTATCGCTGGTATCTCACAGATAGGAGATGTAACAATGTTTTTATCAGGAACCATTTTGTTCCAGTGTCCTGTCAGACCGACATACCCATAGTCGATACCCGTTTATCCCTTTAGTTTATCCCTGTTTATCACTTTAGTTTTGTGCAAAAAATACAATTTTAACTACCTTGACAGGCGTGTATCGCTCAAGTCATGTACAAAAAACAGTTTAATTACTTACTTTTTTGTGTTTTTTGAGGCATATTATGATCTGACCTTAAATTGTTTTTTTTTGTACATGACTAAAGGGATACAGACCCGTCAAGGTTGTTTAAAATGTATTTTTCCGTTCAAACCTAAAGGGATAAACTAAAGGGATATATGGGACTAACATATGCAAATGCAACTGTGACCTCTTGCTGTTGTGTATTGACTATGGGTATGCTGGTCTGACAGAACACAGGTCTATACCCGTATATGTAAGCACCCATAGACTCTGGTGTACAAGAAACTCTGGAACTGGATCTTTCTGCTACCTTATCGATTTATAGTTCCTAACAATGTCAAAGTGGTTCTTTTCAAAATTGTGCATCTGTATTACCCTTCAAAAGCAAATATCTGTGCTTTTTTTTTTCAAATGTGAGTAACAATTGTCCATTTTGTGGATATGAAGGGGACACTATTGAGCATAAATCAACCAAAATAATGAAATTATTTAATCATTTCAATTTACTTGAAACAATTTACTTGTTTGTGTGTATGTTTATGTTTTGTTGAAATAATAATGTTTTTATATTATCTTCCTTCCTGTTATGTAATATTTACATGTAATGTTCAACTATTATTGTACTAAATTGTATGTACAAATGTTAATAAAGAAGGTTTGTTACAATAATCAAAATAAAGAAGATATGGCGCTGGGTGGACTCGTCAGTCTGGAAGAAGAAAAACTCTCTTGTTTGTACATGCGCGGTGCGCGAGGTTCTGGTAAATCCGCTCGCAGACGTTCAAAGCTCTGCTTCCACTGCAGGATTTGCTCACGAGGGCCGACTGAATCTCAAACATGTTGGAAATTTTCCCCCGACCTTATGATTCCTGATCAGGAGGTGGTTGTTAGAGGCTAATCCCCCCTCGTTACCCCCTGTATGCTACACGACGCAGGCTCTACGCTCATTCATTTTTAAGAAAGACGTATTTTCAATTTGTGTGACCACTTTTGCTATAATCTTTTGCTGCTATAGCACCACAATTTCCCCATTGTGGGACAATAGGGGGATATATATGGTAAAGATAGGCTCTGTGTATGCACCTTGATGCTCTATCTCTCCGTTTCTTTTCCCTGAAAAGAGATCACTCAAGAAAAACTCTTTAAATAACACTTCATAACGTATATGTATTAAATAACCAGGAGACATGACAACAGATTCTGATAGAAATTGTAATCTTACTCGGATCAAAGAAATTGCTTAGAGTTACAGAAGGCAGCTGCTCACCTTCAGGCTCACCTCTCAGGCAGTGGCCCAGATTAACAGTTAGAAAGGCATTTTATTCATCTCCAGTCTGCCACATCATCACATTTTACATCATAGACATTAGCAGATGAGGAGACATTCATGGCTCCAGCCTTATGAAAATATTACACTTCATCCTTAGCTGAAGGACACCGCCCTCATTCCATTTCCAAATCTTTGCCAAGATTTATATATATATATATATATAGATATATATAAAGTTATCCCTCGAGCCCTAATGTTAACAATCCTTCCATATTAAAAAATAAAGTGACGAGGCATCCTTCTTCTGGTCTGCTTAAACCAGCATATTATGGTAGCAGGTCAGTCTCCCCAAGATGGCACCTGTAATCTCTGCACCGCGACAGTCAATGCAGGTTCTACTCTTATTTTATGTCCATGACCACTAATACCTGGGAAATCTGCAACAACATCACGGTGTCTCTGTTCCAACTTGCATGATCAAGAATCTCCTCAGTTCTCCAAAGTCCTGCTAATGACCTAATTATTGAATTAAGGTGTTTTGAAGCAGAGACGCATCTAAAAGCTGCAGGACACCGGCCCTCAAGGACTACAGTTTGACATCCCTGCACTAGAGCATCAAGCTTTTAATGCGTCCAACTGTTTATGTTAGCATCATCATTCAGAAACATTTAGTTGGAAGGTGTGTCTACATGTGTAACAACATAAAAAGGGAAAATAGATTTTTCTTAAACCTGAATAAAAACTCAGATCGATAAAACATTTTTATTTTGGCACTGAATCATGGAATCATTTTCTCTGTTTGCCATTTTAACCCAAATCTTTTTAAAATAAATCTGGCGTCTCACACTCATGCACTGAATGGGAGGGGCAGTTGAACTGGTTTCAGCGTAGGGAGCAGCTAGAACATGAGGCAGCGCTGCAGTTTGTTTTCAGGTCTGATGCACTGCAAAAAAAACATCTAAATAAGTCATTTTTGCTTAAAATAAGTGATTTTTCTTGAGTCGAGAAGGTAAGTGAGACACTTTGCTGATGGAACAAGACAATTTACATTTAAAATAAGAAAAAAATAATTGCATTGTCTTAGTTGAAGCCCATATTATCTAATTATCTTATTTTAACCTCTTAGGGCTTTGCGGTCACATACGTGGACAGCACTTTTTCACTCATATGTCCACAATGGTGTTTACAGCTTAACTTGTGGTGTTATAAATTTGAATGTGGGTATTTTCACTACCACCTGGTGGTAAAAGAAGAGCATTACACCTTACCAAAAAATTTAGAAATGGCGGCCAACACACGCCAAAATCCTCATGTCAGCTCCATATGCAATCGTTGACCAAGTAAGAAGTCCTGTAATATTTTATAATCTATTCTGATTTAGACAATAATGGGTTGTACAAAGGGTTGTACATTTGTCATTAAATGCAAATATTGAAAACAAATGTGAATAAAACCCCTTTCTATGTAGCTAAACATGAAGTACATGTACGTGTACTTATGGACTGAAGCTCCTTGAAAAAGCTAACATGCTAGTACACATACACATTTGTAGAATAAGAAAAACATTATCTGTTGTGAAGCTAAAATGCTATACGTTGTCCATAATTAAATAAATATAATTAAAACTACTGAATCAATACATTTATACGTGAATTAGATGGACTAAAAATGCTAGTAAAAATATGTGCATGTGAGTTAGCTTCACGCGTCGTTGATTCTTCAAACTGAGGGGAGCGATAAAAATGGTGATTGATGATGATGAGCCAGCAGTACTGAAGATGTTGGAAAAATTCTGGAAGTTGAGGCCTTTTCTAGATGGAATTCTGCGAGGCTGCTCGTCTCTCAGTCGACCTGATTGCGCATCCATAGATGAGCAAATGATTCAGTTCACAGGAGCCTGTCAATGGAGACAATATCTCCCGATGAAACCAAACCCAGTTGACATAAAAAAAATTGTTTGTGCCACAGCAGATGGTATTGTGCTTGACTTTGAGCTTTATCAAGGCACAAATGTGCTAATTGAAAAGGTAGAGGAACCAGAGGTCCTGGGTTTGGGAAGCTTAGTCATTGAGCGCCTGTGCCAAACTCTGCATCGTGGCACAAAAGTGTATTGTGACCAGTTTTTCACCACCATCAAGGGTGCACAACGCATGAGGGAGAAAGAGTTATACATGACTGGCACAATAATGAAGAACAGACTAGCTGGAGCGAACCATAAGTTGCCCAGTGACAAAGCCATGAAAAACGCAGGAAGAGGAACCTCATCAGAAGTTTCCACTGAAGATGCAAAGTTGTGTGTAGTAAAGTGGTATGACAACAAACCAGTTCTGATGATGTCTGCTGTTCATGGTGCACTGCCAGAAGATACCTGCCAGCGTTGTGACAAAAAAATGAATCAACATGTCAATGTCTCAACCAAGCATGTACGTGAGTACAACATGAAGATGGGTGGAGTGGATTTGATGGACAGAATGATAAGGTGCTGTTGCATGAGCACCCGTACCAAGAAGTGGACATTACAAATGATAATGCACTTCATAGATCTGGCTTTAGCCAACAGCTGGCGGCTGTACCGAAAAGACCATGCAGTATCTGCTGGACCAAAGACCAGACCCATCCAGTTCCTCCAGTTTCGTATGGAAGTGGCCAAGATCCTCTTGGTCCAGCATCACGGTGCAGATGCAGACCTTTCAGAACCTTCAGAGGATGAAGAAATAAGTCAAGGGGTCAGATGTCACGTGATGGAGTTGCCTCAGGTCTCGGTCCGCAGAAGAGCCAATGCCCATCTCCCAGAGATGATACGCCTGAAGAACGCTATGCTCCGTTACCCTGGAAGAACCCGAGTGAGTGGTGTGACCTGCAAAGTGTTCTCTGCATGCAAACTAATCGCAACTGTTACTTAGCCTTTCACAATGATTGTTGCCTTTCACATATCCTTATTGTTACATTAGAAATGGATTCATG